TCTCGAAATTTATACGACACCAAAATATTTGTTTTAAAATAACTTATGCATCATCTGATTACAAAATCACGTGTCCTTGGAAGGAAACGTCTCTGTTTACCCGTTTATCCATAGTTATGGTGCTTTTGCAGTTTATAATGGCACAATTATGCATTTCCGCGTTTTGGACTAGTGTTTATCTACGATAACGGTCGAGCGCGTTCTGAAGTGTAGCAGCGTGAACTAAGTGAATTCCACTTTGGGCAGGCCAAGTACTTACACTTGCGGCGTCTATCTAGATATATGTCTGTGGGGCCACGTAACACTGCCGGAGCACGACGGGCCTTAATCAAGTCGAACAGGTACAACTCATCGCCAGTGATTAAATCGTAACTTTCGTAAAATATACATTTATTGAATAGACAAAAAATAGCATAAGACTCGCAAAGTGAAACGTACAAATTGCGCCTATATATCAATAACAACATCATTATCATCATCACCACCACCACTACCACCGCCACCACCACCACCACCACCACCATCATCGTCGTGGACGTCTTTCGGCTTAAGTGATGGTCATGAAGTTGATAAGACTAGAAAATAAGATTTTTCCACCAAAATGGGTATCTCTGGTATTAACTATCAATAAAATGTTTGTGTCGAGCAACCTACAAACAGAAAATTTGGTCATATGAAAAAAAATTAATTTGTAACAAAAAATCAACTTGTAATTAAATATTTTATTAAATTTCATTATTTTGTTTAATGGTGAAACATGTCATAAAATATGTTATTAATAAATGCTTCACTATTTTTTCCTCTAGTTTTGTTATATCGAGTTCTTAGGTTTTCGCGATTGTTACACATAGGAAATAAAACTATTTTTCCGGATTTAAATCGCGTATATTTGTTTTTTCAAACAAACCGACGATTCGGGCCCTTTACAGGTCCCATGGTCACAGTTGACTGAACGTCGGTTTGTTTGAAAAAACAAATATACGCGATTTAAATCCGGAAAAATAGTTTCATTTCCTATAGTTTTGTTATATTAATAATACAAAGATCGAACACCTAGAAAAAATTCCTTTGCATCCGGCCGGATTCGAACCGACGTCTTCTAGTAAAACGTGCCAGACGCTATTCCAATTAAGCCACGGAACGAACCCTTTTGGTTAATTGGCATAACGTCTGGCACGCTTTGCTAGAAGACAATGATCCCAATGGCTTCTGGCCTCGAAAATTACTAAGCAGAAAACTCTCGAATTAAAGCTTGGCAACAAAATATACAAAACTGACATCAGATTAAAAACATACACAGGTGAAATAATTTCTTGCGTTAGGCTCAATTCACACTGGCGCGGAGTCGAAGCGTCGCGTCGCCTCCTATTTTTCAACTACACCGCCTGGCGACACGCGTCAATGCGCGACGACGCTAGCATTAGTGCGCCGGGATCACAGTGTGGTCAGCGTCTGACGCCTTACGGCGCCCAAGCGTCGACACTCGATTCCATATTTGCAAAACACAAATTGTACCTTAATAATGGGATAATAGAGATGAATATGCTATAGGCGATAAACATGACGCGTCGCGACGCTTCGACTCTGCGCCAGTGTGAGTTAAGTCTTAAAGTTCCATGGTGTGTCATGTGTGTCAGTTTCTACAGAAGAAGGGATCACATTCGTTACTCTGAATAGATTATACAAAGTTTATACAAGTAACTGTCAATTTGAGAGCAGTGTAAGTATTTTCATGTTCCAGAATCAGTATCTCGCTACGTATATAGAGCTCCGTAAGTCGATTTTGCTGAATACGCGAAATTCCTTTCAATACTTTTGCTATGACGTCCTCAATGCTGATTTAGGGATACGCATTCAGTTGAGTATATTCATTGATGGTGATTGACCTAATGGGCCTGAGCTCGCCAAGGTGGCTGGGGTCAATAATCTGTCTTCCAGGAATTTCTTACCTTCCGCGCTAACAAATGAATAACGAAAAATGAATAACGCCGCCATCCGATGAGTATTTCGTTCACAAGCTTCATATTAGTACGTGATAGGGAATACAGTTTTAATGGGGCTTCACCTAGTATTAAGTACTAAAAAATCCGTGCAGTTCGATATTTAACACACAAAGCCCATCAACAGTGGACACCATATGTGTTGTAGCCATAGTCACGTTCTGTTACTTGTGATTTTGTGTAATTTGTAGTTCTCCACAAGTCGACTGTTAATAAAACTTGCTGAGGTTCCTGTATCAATTAGCGCTTTGACATTTATAGATTTGTTAATTATGATATCGACTGCCGTTTTACTGAGATCACTGGTAGCCGCTGTAATACATGACAATGAACTAGTCAAAAAATTCGAGCCAATTTTTTAAATCCGCAGAGCGTTCTGTTCTTGAGTAAACCTCGACAACAGGACGCTTTTGTAGTATGCAAGCATACTTTTGCAAAATGACTCTTTTTGCCGCAATTTAGGCAAGTGCATTGTATGTAGGGCACTCGACGCGAATGTCTTTTAAGATCCAAAGAAATAGCAGCTGTCGTTCGGTGACGATTGTTTGGGCACAGAAGCAGCGTTAACGAATTTCTAGTAGATGGTTGTAGCTATTATTCGTAGTTATTGATCTGTAACACAGGACCCCAGTGTAGTACAGACTCCGACGCTCACTAAGGAACTTGTTATTATACATTAAATGTAACTACTTATAGACCTTTCTGAAAGAAATAAAGCATTTTGTATTTAAATGTGTATTATTTAGTCCGCGCCATTTTAAATGAGCCAGCTTACCGATGTGCATCATATTTTTTTCCATCCTATGCTCTAAATTATTATCTAGCCATATTCCCTCTCGTTCTCTCTTTCATCTCGTCTTTTGATAGTAATTTATGCTGTTAAATGTACTCGTCAATCGTTTCACCTGTAGTTGTTAGTTTTCAGCAGATGTGGTTGGTTTTCAGTGACTTTATATCGTGAATAACTGCGTTTGCCGTTTGACAAAGAGCGAGTCTAGTTTCGTAATAGCATTATCCTTAATAGTATTTCGTATCGCCGCTGCAATCTTTGGCGATCGTCTGCACTGCCGAAAGAAAGTTTGGAATGTTTTATTCCAATGTGTCTAGGTAATCGCGTTATTGACATTTGATGACGAATTGGCGTCGAAACACAATGGGCAAAACACCAATTGAAAAAACACGGCGTTTTTTACGTATTCTTCGTGGCATAATTGTGAATTTCAATACAGTCACTAATATTGACATAATTTGATGTGCCTTTAGTCATCTTCATTGAGTTTTAAGTTGGTGCCGGTGGTCTTAGACTATGGAAACCAAAGGACATGTTATATTGACACATATAAATCAGACGTTATATGTATATGATGCATTTAGACGGTGAATCATAAACATTTTATTGTCTTTGTTTAACTACTGCGTGCCGTACGACGGCAAAAGAGATAGCACTACATTGATTTACGTCAAATACGGTAATCGAAAATACGTAACGTCATCTTAAATGCCAACTGTCCTCATTTTACCGTTTTAGACATCCGTATCCGGTTGTCAAAGGGAAGTACATCAAATGTCAAAACCAATGTTTGGCTAAACGTTTTAGTGAATTATTTGCATGAATTTATGAATTATTTTTAAAGTTTACCTACAAATGAAAAAGAAAGAAAGAACGGTTGGAAATTATAGGACTGCCGAACATAAACATTGGATCAAATACCATCTTCGTTTCTTCGCTCCATTCAAATTTAAATAGAACTTTGAATGTAACAAGATTACATGATAATGCAACCATCGTTACATTTATTGGTAAATAACTTTATTTTTTTTTATTACTTGCCTAGTAATAATAGCCTAGTATTAATCATACTTTGATTATATTAAACTACACAAATTTGCAAACATAAAACACAATAACCACAGTTTCAACATTCAAGCCATACATTTGCATGTCGATATTGACTTATCTATGATTATGGTACAACACTAAATTCGTCATTTTGGTGGATATTTTTGATTCCGTAGTTAAGGCAGCTCCTATCCTTTTTTTTTTTCCATCCTCTAAACCGGAGGTAGAAACAAATTCAATACACGTCACTAACACGTCCATAGACATCTTTGAAATGTATGAAAGTTCCTCCTGACAAGCTTCTGCCTCTTAATGATCTGATCACGGCTTAGAGGATGAAAAAAAAAATCACGGAAGATACTAGTATTTATGTGGTCTATGGATCTGATAATGTTTTTTTTTTTCAAGTGTTCTTCCCTTTTGAATGTCAACCTCAGAGAAACGTAATTGTGAAGTACCAACTTAAAAGAATATGGGGGACAATAACTGGGGTAAAATATCTAACAGAAATTTAACAAAAATCACCAGCCAAAGTCTGAGTAATCAACGCGTGTCTTCTTTAACCTTAACTTGGCAAAATCATTGATTGTATCGATGGAGCTATAACAATTTAAAAAGAAGAAGAATATATTTGTCCTGTTCATTTTGTTAAAATTAACTTTAAAATCTTACTATTAATAGACATTGCTTTTCAGCACAGCATTTGACTGGTTAAAAATTATTTAATAACGCTAAACAATGAGTTACTTTGAAGTCATCCTCAAACGTATTTGTAAACGGAAATACTCACCTCAGGTTGTTATTTGCACCTATTTAGCCGGGTAAATAAAACGAGCAATTCTTGCGTCTGTGGTACGCTATGGACGTCCACTCGAGGACGACGACAAAAATTTGATCGTACTCGGATATTCGTTATAACAAACGATGTCATATTTATATATTTTTAAACATCAACTTTATCTTACTCTGTACTATTCAGTTAACAATGAAACATCTATTAGCTTCATTCCCTCTACTCCAAGGGATGTAGAGGGACTATGACTTAATTTGACTTTCTTTTTAAATTATGACGCATAGATGCGGCGTGTGGTGTGTGTGTGTGTGTGTGTGTGTGTGTGTGCGTGTAGTAACTAAGTGCTGAAGCAGCGTATGTATTGCAGGAGCAGCAGACATCGCCGGCGTTGCCGCTTTGCCCCGCCGGGCGGCCTGATGCCGATGTGCAACCATTGCTCTGCGGCGACGGTTAGTTCCACTCTATATAATTGATATTGATATAATATTATAATAATAATTGAGATTGATATAATATATTTGAATGCTATTTTCAATAATTAAGAATAATAATCACATAAGAACACTATATATCGCACCCCTCACGAAAGAGTGGCATAAGTGAAGTTACTTCAAAAATGTTTATAGCTCCATTGGATACAAAAAAATATAACCCACATCCTCTTCAATTATTCTTGTTTTTGACAATATTAGTACATAGAGTTACTACAATTGGAGAGGATATGAGTTATATTTTTCTGTATCTATTGGAGCAATAAACATTTTTGACGTAACTTCACTAATGCCATTCCTACATGAGGGGTGCGATATATAATTTTAAATTCCTCTTCTATGTAGAGGGAAGAGGAATTTCTTATCTATATACATTTAAGGGGTTACACCACTTTTGCGCTGATAGCCTCAATTAAGCTAAATAAGCAACTAGATGCCGAGCCGTGCATTCGATTGTATGAGACCTAAAGTGGGTTCACTTGATATAATTATCTTCCGTCGTAGAGTAGGTACCTACTTCGTAAAATTCTGTTCTATAAAGTTTTGTTAAAAACTATGAAACTATTTTGGAGATAATAAAATTGCTGGCCTAATGTACAGACCGGAGCTTGATTTCAGTTGTTATAACCAAGTAGTTGTCAAGGAACAACAGCACGCTGGGTTTGACACCTTGGACTTTAGAGATGGTCATTTCATCTTACATGGCAATAGAGTTGAATTTAATGAATATAATGTTATAAATTTATGTAAAGGAGACGTGACATTGTTTGTACTCCATACATTTACATAACAAAAAACATATTGTAGGATTTCAATATAGAGCATCTGCACATCCAGACCTATAATCATGTCGGTCATCTGCAATCTGATTATTGTTTTAATCAAATTAGTAAACTTGCGTTTGTTAATCGCGATGTTTTGTAAAGTACCTTGCAAATGAGTGCTCATTTTTCTTGGCGTTGCTTCTGTGGTTAAAGAAAACGGTTTGATACGTTTTTGCCATTTATTAATTAAATATTCTGTACAGGTTATAAAATAAGAGAACGGAGCGAATGGCGAAGTCACGCTACGTGTGGGATACAGTGCATGTTGATTCTAAGAAATAAAGCGTAATCAAAGTTAAGTTTTATTTTTCTCACGGAGTCTAGAGGCGCTTTCTTTGAGTCCGTCATTGTAATCAGCGGTCGATTAAGGAAAATGCGAAAGCGTAGAAAGCATTACGGGTCGCAAGCTTAAATCGTACCCGGGCGGAGAGAGTATTTGAATTGCTAATTGAAGTAAAGGAGGCGCGACATTTGTGTAAATGAAAAAAATTCGTCTTTCAAGCCGCGTATAACCCCTCATCCTTTGGCCTTGCTTTCGCTCCCTGAGACAAAACACATCCCTAAGTTATATATAGTCGTGTTTACTAATAAAGAACGAAATCCAACGACGTAGAACCCGGTGATAAGTATTTATGCATGTTTGAATTTTTTTGTTGGACAGACCTTTTGAAATGCCATAAAACCGTATTATGAGAGCATAAGACACGCATATACATAATGTAGGTTCAGTGTTCCACTCTCCAGATATTTGCTGTCAACGTCGTTTTCATGGCTCCTCTTGATTTCTCTACTACCGCCACAAGAAATAAGAAAAGAACATAAATATGATTATATTGCATACGTACGTCAATGTTTTAGTATTTTGCATTAAGAAAATATTACTATTATAGGACTCTGCAGCGAAGGTACATAGGTAGATCTCACATAATTATAACAAACTCCTATTGCATGCTAAATACGTCAAATACAAAATGCTGAAGCCAAATTACGTAACGCCTACGAAATGCTATCCTGTCCTAAATCCTATCCTAAGGCAAGTTCGACACGCTATTGGTTGGCCTAGTAGGTACACTACTTCTCCAATAGGACGTACATCTGTCAAAGGCTAAAACAGTTACGTTAGTCATTTATTTGTGGATACCCAAATTGTATAGACGATAACTGGAACAAAGTAAGTAGTATATTTTTAAAGTGTCTGACTAAATATTAGTCGGATATAATAACGGTTATTTATCATTGACTGTAGGATTGTAGATCCACTTTTTACTCGATAAAGTGATCTTTTCATTAAAACGAAATTTCCGGCTTTATTATTTATCTTTTTTGTTTGTTTGTTTGTTTGGAAAGGTTAGGATGATGAAATTACAAGCACATGGAACTTGTCAACTTACGTCTATGGGTGGCGGGTGCAGTGGCAGTGCCCCAAAGATCTTTGCGATTTAGAGCTCTAAGTGACACTGCAACAGTTACGGGTAGGCGTGACGCTCACTACCAGGCGTACGACTTATTCGTCCCGTCATTTGATATAAAAAAAAATCCATAATGTACCAGTAACAGTCGCTCATGTTCTATATGTAAGCAATAAGACGGTTAGTATTCGCCATATTATTATATGTGTTGTAATATAGTTTTAAGGGCTTAAAGCGATCACAAGGCGTATAACGACATACCACACCCGCAATCGATGAGCTAAAATGTTGCGTCAATACAAAACCCAAATAGCTACACAGTTTATATGTCCAAATAGCTGTCGTCAAGACACATCCGTATCGTGAAGTACTTACATTACATAATGGATTGATAATAGGTGTATTCCTGCGTACAAAGGAGTAACGTTTAAGTAGCTGTACGAGGAAAATATTGTCGATTCTTATAAATGACGCGCTTCGTTATTGACGATTCTTTAATTAACAAAAATCTAATTTTCATCTTAATTTGTAATAAATACTTGCGCGATCGAACGCAGCAATTACAATCAACGTCAATATGATCCAAGCGATTGAAATTTTAAAATGTCCGCCCTTTGATAACAATCTGTCATCATTCTGAAGTTACCGAGATATTCAATATCTTAAATATCTCGGTAACTCTCTTCTCCCACTCATGCACCACATAGGTACAAACCGAAAGCATACATTGCCCTTAGCGACTTGGATGGCAGAAGATCGGCGACTTAGCATTTCGCGAACGCGTGTTACATTGATGCATATTTTATCAAGATAGAACTAACACTTAACAAGTAAACAAAAAAATCGGTTACCACTGATACGACCACGAACTAAGTCATTTGTCGTTTATTTGTTGGTTGATTTCGTCTTTTTGACGATAAAATTAACGAACAATTAACATTATTCGCCAATAAATGACATCTACAGCAAAAATGACAGGTGTATCAAAATAAAATACAGGTGTATAAAAGGTCCTCAAATACAAAGTGAAATAATAAACCTCAAAGGGAGTATCCACCATTTGAGCTTTAATGAGATTTTCCATCCTACCAATATAATTTTTTATTCTCTGTTGATCAGTCTATAAAATTTGTCACTTCGAAAACGGTATATGCCATTTAGTAGCTATTGAAACGAATTCAATTTGGGTGTTTTTTGAAAAGAATATATTATAAGTTTGTTTAAGTTTGATAAGTTGAACAAATTTCAAAAATATTCTTTTCCATCACACTTGCTCGTCAACAGTGTCATGACATGCACCCAAAATCGGCCGTAATGACTAAATTACTGCCGTAGGCTTTTTCATTTCATTACAGCCCTAGGGCGGTATGGATTTTTTTTTTAAATTTAATTGTACATCTTACAGATGTCATGGTTAAGCAAAAAGTTTTTGTGCTCGGAAAATGAATATACTTATCAAGTCCACATAAGCTTGAAGTATAAAAAAAACTAAGCATTTGCAGTTATTGAACAATATTTTACTAAATTAATGTTATTATTAAAATTCTGCAGTACTTTTAGAATTTTGAAATTTTTAATTTTACCTATATAAGTATTCGTAATTGTTGTATTGTGAATCGATATTTAGTCGTACAATAAATAAATTGTCGTTTTATTTTTTCCCCGCAAATGTGATGAAAAACATATTTACCGCCTTTAGCACACATAAATATGCGACAACCGATGCATTGGCCGTAGCATTTACAATGGATGGAGCGCTTTAGGTTCAGTGGTGATATTGACACCGAAAGTCACCATCTAGTGAACATTGACACTTTAGATTCTTAAATTCTTTTACACTTTTGTCATCAAAAACATTGCCAAGAAAAAATAACTGAATTTCATGTGTATATTTGAATAAAATATTTTCAAAATAAACACGATCTCATAGATTATTGTGTTAAAAACTTAGAAATTATCTATAGAAATCTGAAACATTCAAAGCGTATTTAGATTGGTGTATTATGATTTCTTTTACAGCGAATTTTTTTCGCCAGAAATGTGTATATTCTATCAACATAAAAATGTTTATCGATAGATGTCGACTTTTTATCCACTCCCTAGTATCGATGTACTTATCCTAGCTTTATGAATACAGTCACCATGATCCACTCCCCCGACTCTTTACGAAAGGGACTGTTGCAGCTTTTAGCGTTAAGTACCTATAATTTTAGATAAAACTGTCGTTATAGGGAAAAACGTTACCCCCCGTTAAATTATACGATTTTGAACTCATTTCATTCAGAATACTTTAAACAATGATTGTTAAGTTTCGCTTATTTTTTAATGGTGGCTTGTTGATGAAATGTTAAATATTTCGTAGCAGAACATTTACATAATCACATTTGTACAATACCAATATACATATGGATAAAACGCGTTTGTTTTTATTTCTCTTTTATGTAATGCCATTGTGACAAAATTGTGCTTTACTATTTATTACCATTACCAATAAAATACGATTATTTTACGGTTGCTTTCAATAAATGACTTGTTGACGAATATTATGAAACCTTAAGGCGCAAAGGGGTCCATGTGTTTTACTTAAATATTTGTATTCGTATGTACCTACTTACATATGTAGTACAAACAGACTTGAGTGAGCTTCTGCATTTACCCGCTGCCGTTGTGCTCGTGGCCCCCACAGCTCGCAGCGCCCCAGATGGGGAGCTATTAGCCGGTAAAAGATAAATGTCGTTTTCACGAAGCTTTATTGGCAGGAGTCGTATGTCACGGCTGTCAGCAGACGCGGGCTCATCGTAAACCTTCCCGACCCCGTGCCCCTAGCTCTCGCCCCACGCTCTCACCCCGCGCTCTCACCCCGCGTCTCGCAATGATCACTCGGTTAGGGCGGCATAAAGTTTTTATGTCGGGGCTTTATCTCCTCGCGCCACATCCTAGAACGAGTAACAGGTAGCAGCCCTCGTTTACATAATTTTAATCCTTGAATGTGGTGAGAAACACTACGGAGATTCTAGCAACCGCCAATTGCAAGTACAGACTGACTCAAACTCAGAAAGCCCACAACAGTGTTAGGTTATCGAGTAAAAGGACTTTACATCTTTTTTAGTACAAATCGCTTCGTCTGACGATGCGGGGAAGATGTAAGACGAGGCTTGTTCGATGCCCATGGAGTCGACAGATTATAGTAATACCTATTATATCCGTATGGGGGATAAAAAATTATGTATATTCCTTTGTAGAGGTTGAAGTAAAGTCCATTTGTGGTAGGTCTTTTCATCATATAATAACTTATTGAAAAGATTCATTTTTATTGATATTTAGATTTTTGACGACGCCGATTGACATCTATACATTCGCATTTAATAAATCTACCGGATTTGAACGATTTAAAATATTATAAATATATTTTGTTATAACAATCATATTCATAAATTTTTAAATAATACAAAATTTGTAATTGTTAAATACTTGTAAAGGCTCCAAAACTACGTGTGATTATGAAAATAATTTGGTTGTATTGTACAATCAGTATTGAAAGAAAAAATTAACATTCCGTAAAACTTACTTGAATTACTTCCTTATACCGTTAGCTATTCAAAAATGTTACCCAAAATTATACTTGTACACTCATAAGCGTTAATAAGGCACGTGAAGCGCGCTGTAGACAAGAGTCAGACAAAGCCAATGGTTTATAAGATAAATTTACCATAAAATATCAAACATTTTTGTATTAAATAAGTAAATGATGCATAAAAACATTAAAAGCAACTAATTTTAAGATAATATTTATTCAATATGGATTGAGCACATCCAATCGCCTCGTCCTCTGAAATTAACATCACCTACATACCGTAATATATGTATATACAAACTCGCCGCATGTCATGTGTTAACTCCTCCGACTCCTTTTGTGAAGACGCAAATAAATTAATTGGCTCGTGTTGCAGAGAGGCTTGAGGCTGGCGGCGGGGGGCACGACGAGCTCGTTGAGGAGGGAAGCCACAGCTGCGTGGCGCGCTGCCTGGGCACGCTGCCCGCGCCGCTGCGTGAGCTCTGTGCCTCGCACCGTTTCCGAAACCTTCATGTGAGTGCCTGTCCTTACCTAGTCTGACTTATATATTTTTTATAACAAACAAATGTATGGAGTGGTCAACAACCGGTTGAGATAAGTATCTCGTCTTCATCTCACGCAGTCTGCAACTTAACTGTTGACATCGGCGTCTGTCACGGGAGTGACCAATTGCACTTTCGCATAAAAACCGACATAAATCTACTTACGTACTTACTCTGTTGACAATAATTACCTAAAGTCGAGAAAATACGATTTTATGGCTGGGGTGGTGACACAAAGTTGTATTTTAATCGACTTCAAAAAAAGGAGGAGTTTCTCAATTCGTCTGCATGTTTTTTTGTATGTAAGTTACGCCATAACTCCGCCAATTGTGAACCAATTTTGATGATTCTTTTTTTGTTGGAAAGAAAGTACCTCGATGTGGTCCCATTTAATATAAAGGTGGAATAATTTCAAGAACATATTCCACCTCTAAGGGTGGCAAACTAGGGGATGAATGACTTTTGAGGTCGGTTTTTTTAACCGGAGGTTAGGTTATTACATTTTTATATTTAGCTTTCTAACTACGAAGGTCTCTACACTTACGAGTATGCTTGAGCAGGTGGAGATGTTGTACCAGCGGTACTTCCTGCGCATAAACCAGACGAACATGACACACCTCCTGGGCCTGCTGCTGGCCGTAGCACTAGGCCTGCTGGGCGTCAAGGCGCGCACATTGCTGCTACCGAAAGACCTGCAAGCCGACGCAGATCTTGCGCTTGGCACGGATTTTACCTCGATTTATAGGTGCGTACACCATGTATGATTCATGTGCTTAAGTCACATTAGGTATAGGCACCTACGTCTTTAACATCGGCTTTAGGCGACTCTAGACTCGACGTAGTCCGGTTGTTCGACAGAGTTTTAACCGCTACCACTGGTGTTAGAAATATGTGCGAAACACAGACTTCGTATTATATAATATACTAATAATATCGTATATGGAAGAGACGTTCGAAAGCCACTTGAAGTTGGAATCCCTCACTTAATGACATTACTTGTGTGCAGCTCTATGGAGCCGTACCATGATCTGACATCGGATCTGCCGCTGTTGTTCAACACTACCGAGGAGCCGCTGACGCCGTTTAACACGTCGTTACACCGTCTGCACTTTGAGCGTGATCGTATCGCGCACGTCGTCGACGTGATTGCCATCGGCCTGTCCGCGCTCGTCTACGCCTGTAAGTGTAGCTTCCCTCCGCAGTGAGGTCAATCTCATGCTGATTGTAAAAAATCTGTTTATCAATTCCAAAATAACATCAATAAAAAGCTATGAAAATTCTAACACAAAACTATATTCGAAATCAAACTATAGATCTGCCAGCTTAATTTAGTAAGTATTTGGGTGTACCGCACAAACCTTTTCCCGTATGCTTATTTATTATGTTAACTTTAAACTTGTCAATTGGTCCAGCCCGTGGCGCAGAAATAGAAAAACCTCTTTTGTGAGGTTATACGTGTTTCTAAATTCCTCGTCTCCCACATCTGGCAATGAATTGAGTGTTTTCCGAAAAACATTTCTAGCAATTCTTTTTCTTCGAAGGTGATTGAGTTTCTCCTATGCCTGTGCAGCCACAAGCTACAAAAAAAGAACATGACGCTTGCCAAACGTCACTTACCAAACTTTAAATGACAACTACAACGTTTGCATTAGTTCTTAAAGGATGGAAAAAAAGTTAGTTACGCTTACAAACGTCAAATTTCCAACGTACCTACTTTATTTGTAAGTCAATGGTACCTACACTCGTAAACGCCTTCTGATCATTACGGAAAAAGTTCTGGAATTATGAAATATTGCGGGACTGTCTAAAATAGTATTTTTTTTTTAAATTGACCTCTAAAATTACGTAATTCCCGCAAAAGTCATATCATAACAAATACCAAATTACCTAAAAACTTGTGGCTCCTCTTTAGTCCCTAGATATTAAAGAGGCGCCATACCTCCCCGAAGTAGGTTGTATTTTTGGTTAGTCCATAGGTTATTCGCACAAATAATGGAAAATGGTCGTAGGTACTCATGACATTATTTGCATGTTATTTACTTCTAAAAACCTGTTTAGTTCAGTGAAGAGAAATCGTTGAGTTTTCAATTTTATTCATTGTGGGTTCAATTTGAGATAAATAGAAAAACAACACAAATTTCCTTTCCCTAGAACATACAAATCATTCTAAGGAAAGTAAGAGTTGTTACATTCATATTTTCCTAAATAGTCTAAAGATAAAGATAAAACAAAGATTAAGGATAAAGATAAATTTATTTTATTATAACTTAACATAAGAACAATTAAAACAAATTTAAAGAAGTCTTTTATTAAAAAAAAACATAAAGAATGAACCTCATTTATGGCGGCCACTAACTAAAACGCGGCTAAGTGACAAGTGGTCAAATAACCGTTTTAAATACCAAAAAACACAGCACAAAATTATCTCATATAAACAGTTAAAATTCGTTAACGTGTTTGCCTTAACGGAACTTAACCTAACGACCTAACGACGCATAGCTGAAATATCATTAAACAATTTCAATATTCTAAAACTGAGTTATGGATTTTTATGATATCTCAAAAAATTATTTTATCACTGAGCCGCTATACATTAAATCTTAGGACTGTAACGGTGATGTCTAAACAAAGTATTTTAGGCGTCTTATTTGAGCATACTTTCTTTATATTACTGCTTAAAAACAGATTACATTTAATTATATAACAATAAAACAGTTAATAAAATATAACTTTGAGATAACTTTTAGCAAGCCTTTTATGTCGTCAGCCAGGATTTGACAGTCGTGTTACATCCTATTTTATTCATGGCAAAATAACGTATTAGTACTACAAAGTATCGTACTAAAGAAAAAAATGTGCCTAAAGCCATCAAAAGCCTTGGAAGCAGAAGAATCTGTAGTCTATTCTATAGTACTTAACTAAGAGCCTAAATTTAAGCGTCTCCGTAAGTATTAGATTGCTACTTAAATATGCTGCAATCTTATTTGGTATTCTATCTCTGTAAACTTACGTAAAATATAGGACTACTATTGACTCATTTGGATGTATGTACAACAACTCGTAGGGGTCTACATCTCTCAGTGGACGATAATTTTGTTGTGAATTTGGGCGACTTCAAACAATACCATGATGACCAAACCGGCTAGACATGCATATTATACTAATCTGCTAAATAGAGGAGAATAATAAGATCTCACTTATTCTAAATATATAAACTATCTGATACACATAATTATTAGCTGCAAGCGAAATTGTCATAAATTTGTTTGTTGTTTCGAGTTTGATTTACTGATTGCAATCTATGTCACTATATTATATCATCTGTAAATAACGTTTTCCACAAAAACTTTAACAACGCATTACTTAAGTCACGTTTCTTCCATTTTTTTTTGCAATATCACGTTTCTTGATTCTATTAATTTGAAACTTGGTTTGGGCACTCTTAAAAAAAACAATAGGTAGTAGTTTTACTTAACCACCTTTAAATAGATTGAAACAGGGCTCAAGCCGATTTTTGTGATAACTACAGGTTTCTCTTCCATCTTGTTAAGCAACTAGCAATGAACTAATAAAGCAGATATTGAAATTGGGTCTCAATTCACCGGTCTGCCGTCTGTTCAGACTACACAATGAGTATAGTGCAACAGTAGATATTTTCTTAGACTGATTACAACTTCAGCGAAACGGCGTCTTTTTTTCGTCTTTTCATACTAACGGCGTTTGTTTGCAGGTCTTCTTGCGTGCCTTAGCCGGCCGGCCATAAACGAAATCTACCTGCTCACCATTTCATACGTGGTGCTCGGAACCTTCCTGCTCATTGAACTATCGCTCGACACTACTACAGTCCTCAGGTGTGCATACTCTCGTTAATCCTGTGCTGCATGTTTCAACTTGTGGTGTACACAAATGATAATTTATAATGTACATTGTGCTTAGGACTCTGGGCGTAAGCAGCGGTGCGTGTGCACTGTTCACTTACGTAACTTACGCTATCCTGCCGGTGCGGCTGCACGAGGCGGTGGGCGCGGGCGTAGCGCTCGGTGTCGTAAACGTAGGGGCGCACCTGGCACTGGGTCGGCAGCCACCGCTACAGGTGTGCTGCGGGCTGGCGGCGCTGTTGGCGTGCAACGCCGCGGGCGTGATGACGCACCATCCTCGCGAGCTAGCGCAGCGGCGCGCTTTCCTTGAGACGCGCGACTGCGTCGAGGCGCGACTTGTTATGCAGCGCGAGAATCAACAGCAGGAGCGGCTGCTGCTGTCGGTACTGCCCCGTCACGTTGCCATGGAGATGAAGGCCGACATCGCCAACCAGCCACGCCAGGAGCAGTTCCACAAAATCTACATCCAGCGCTACGAGAATGTTAGGTGATAACGAAACTACAAAACACATTGTTAAATGATTTTGCAACGGATGATAAAAATAAAGTTGATATTCGTATGCTTTCAGCATCTTGTTCGCGGACATATGCGGATTCACCTCGCTGTCGGATCAGTGCACGGCGGAGGAGCTTGTGCGGCTGCTTAACGAGCTCTTCGCCAGGTCCGCTTATTCACAACCCGTGTTCTACTGCTTGAGGCCTTTTAATGTTGCTGCTATAAATTTCACTGCCACCTCATACCGTAAATGTTGTAATACTCTTACGTAGAACGGTGATGTCGATGCAGGTTCGACCGGCTGGCGGCGGAGCACCACTGTCTGCGCATAAAGCTGTTGGGTGACTGCTATTACTGCGTATCGGGGCTTCCCGAGGCGCGCGATGACCATGCGCGTTGTTGTGTCGAGATGGGTCTTGATATGATCGACGCCATTGCGTGAGCACATACTCACTTCCATAACGCACTACCGTGAAAAAATCCAATTGCATGTGCTTTACTAACTTAATTTTATGCCAACGCAGTGCCTCAACATAAACCTCTTCCATCGATAATGCTCGCAGGCTGGTGCGCGAAGTCATGGCAGTGAACGTAAACATGCGCGTGGGCATCCATACAGGTCGCGTTCACTGCGTCGTACTGGGCCTGCGTAAGTGGCAGTTTGACGTGTGGTCCAACGACGTTACGCTCGCCAACTACATGGAGAGCGGCGGTGTCGCCGGGTGAGTAATAACAAAGCAGATTTATACCACACAACAACTGCCTACTTTAATGTTCGATGAAACAATCGATGATGCACAACTGTAAATTTTAGACGGGTGCACATCACGAAGGAGACGCTGCTCTGCCTCGGTGAGGACTATAAGGTGGAGCCGGGTAACGGCGGGCAGCGCAACACTTACCTCAAAGACCACAACATTGAGACCTACCTCATCGTGCCTGACGATACTAGCAGAGTGGTAGAAACGTTCCTCTTTAGTTGATATTCTTACTTTATTATTTTTTCAGTAGGTACGCAGCTAATGTCGCAGCCATTGCATTATACTAGTACTGTACTTTGTGCAGGACAAGAAACCTCAGCACTCTTTCTCAATCAACGGCAACGTGTCGAAGGAGATGCGCGTGATGGGCCACGGCTCGCAGCACGGCAAGCATTCTTCCAAGTGAGTAGCGTACTACGTAGATAAGCACCTGTGTACACGTAGGTAGAGAACTGAACCGCTTTGTTTTCCCCAGGATTGGCATAGAGACTATGAACGAGAATAAAAAACCCGAGGACGAGGTTAATGAGTACCTGATGAAGGCTATCGACGCGCGCTCCATCGATCGGCTTCGCAGCGAGCATTGCCGCCCCTTCACGCTCTCATTTCGTGATATAGACCTTGAAAAGAAGGTGAGTGTGAACCCTTTAAAGGGAGTTGAGAAAGATCCCTAAGCGGCGCTGCGAATTAGAGGCTATCCTTTAGGTTCATCGATAACCTGAATATTAATAATAAATATTAGACAACATCACATACGGTGCTCTGATCCCAAAGTAAGTAGCTAAAGCACTTGTGTTATGGAAATCGGAAACAACGACAGTACCACAAACAGCCAGACGACAGACAATATAGAAAAGTAGTTTTCTACACTGACCCGGCCGGGGATCGACCGTCCTAGGCTCGACACCATGAAAACCGGTGTGCAAGCCACACGACCACAGAAATCATCAATGAATGAAGTAAATATTATTTATTGACATTAAACATGGCTCAGAACGCAATACACGATGTGACTTTCTTTCGGATGTATTTAGTCTGACAATTTAACGTAGAGTAATTCGAGCACTGTAGTATTTACCGGTGATTTGTATGTCCACAGTACCACACAGAGCGTGACCACATGCTCAAGGTGTATTTCGTTTGCGCGCTGGTCATCTACATCGCCATCGTGATCATGCAACTCATCGCCTATGGAATGTAAGTTACTTATTGAAGTATCATAGGATTGAAATTGTGGAGTTTAGGACTCACATTTTTCAGAAGAGAAAAGGTTACAACACGTTTAGCTAACGTATTTGGATTACAAAATGTTCAGGGGTTAGAACGGAATAAGACGCTCAGTGATATCTCGCGAGTGAGGAGACACTAGCTTAAAGTTTAAGGCCAGACACGATGGTCACAAACACAGATGGTCATTCAGTTTAGACTATATATAAATTATAAGTTAAGACAATATGCTGAAATTAAGGTAATAAATAATTTGTACCAATAAGCGAGAGCGGGGCTGAACGTTCCGATTTTCAAATAACTTGCAGTTTTATACTGAAAATGTAGGATTTGATTTTCAACATGTGGAAATGTTGAACAAATATTTATCGCTTTTTGTAATAGTATAGCTACTTCTACTAATATCTCAATAGACTTTATGAGAGGCAAATTTTTGACAAATTTTGGAGCGGAACATTCAGCCCCGCTTTGGGGCGCGTTGTTCCGCCTTTGAGGCAAATTATTAGGCGTAGATTATGATTAAATAAAACCACCTATTTTATAACTGTACGTATGTAATGTTTATATTATGCACAACTAACTTTTAAAAAAACTACATTCTTATTCATCACTAACATTATTCATCGCTCATTTCTTCATCTGAATCACAGTTGAGACACACATAAGTGACTCTATCATCTTGTCTAAATATTTGACATGAGCCCGTTTGTAGTTTCGCATCCTAAAAACAAAGAAAAATGGTCATTAAAATGTTAAGTATGATTGCAGGTCAATTGGGAAAGTTGTTCCTAGGAACAACCAGCCCCTCGAGAGAGGAACTTAAAGCCCCAAATTACGTTTTCATACGAAAACTGACATACCGGCAAAGTAATAGAATCAATCAAAAAAATACTCAAACAATAAGATTCCTTACTAATGTCACTTTTAGAAATGTGACGTATGAATCAGCCCATAATAAACAAAGACAGACCAAAAAATTGAAACAAGAAAAAATTTACTTACGTGATATTTTGGCAGCTCCACGCACATAGCCACACACATAGCCACACATCATCACCGGAGTTACTGAAAGCCATTTCATGCCGGCAAGACGCATCACCTGACGCTTTAACGAGGCGCTTTACATGTATTGCTACATATTTTACTTGCAAAGTTATTGCTGTGAGAACAACTTACCCCGGGAACTACCAGCCCTGGTCTCCCCTATCTAAGAAAAGGGACATTTTAATTCACTGGATAAACAACTGCTGCCATAGTACCTTTTCGAGAATTTAAAGCAATAAACTACATAAAAACGAATTTTTTCTACCAAATATAAATAATAAATATTAGACAACATCACATACGTTGTTTGTTCCGATTACAAAGTAAATAACTAAAGAATTTGTGTTATGTAAATCGGAAACAACGACGGTATTACAACATAGAAAACTTTTTTTTTCGACTTTGACCCGGCTGGTGTCGAACCCGGGACCTCAGAGATGGCGACTCCATGAAAACGGTGTGCAAGCCACTTCTGCTGTTCTCTTTAAGAGCTTCTTCATTTAAATAGGTACAGTTCGCGTAGGTACTTATACAATCTACAAAATATTACTACCAAATTACAATCAAAACTAATAAATCACTTTGTAGAAGTGCAATAATTGCCTAGCATTTTTTTTGTGTTAAAACTGCATACAGGTTGTACCCGCGACTACACGACACGGAGAGAAAATCTTTTAAATATTGCAGATAGTATATTTTGCTTGATAGAGACATTATTTTATTTTTAAAAGTATCAAACAATTTATAGCTCTTAGGTAATGAAACTATTTTTCCGGATTTAAATCCTCTAATGAAAAATCCCAAACAGACATAAGACTGCAGTACTAATTAATATGTTTTAGTTTATTCTAATTTCTATTAATAATTAATAATAAATTAAACTTAATAAAAATTAATTCAATAAAATAATTTGTAAAACTTAATGTAGCGATAATTGGGATGTTTTCTTTGTAAAATTAAAAATAAGGTATTTAATTAATAACTATTGTAACTATAGTGAAAAAATAGGGTGGTTTGCATTAATATTAGACATAACTGGTTGAAGACTGTACCACCTCAGCCAACCGTGACCATGGGACCTGTAAAGGGCCCGAAACGTCGGTTTGTTTGAAAAAACAAATATATGCGATTTAAATCCGGAAAAATTGTTTCATTTCCTATGTGTAACAATCGCGAAAACCTAAGAACTCGAAATTTATAGCTCTTTTAAAATAACAGGCCAAAAAAAATATTTGCTTTTGCACCGCATTTTCCGATGTTAGACTTATCTACATCCGCGACAACAATCCTAATTCAGTGAGAGACAGTAATTATTAGCAGGTTTAGTGCTTAATCTAGAAAATAATACTTCATTGACTTTTTTAACTGCCTCTGTGGCCGAACGGTTACCATGCCGGACTGCCACGCAGAGGTCCCAGGTTCGATTCCCGGGCCGGGAGAAATATTTGTATGGCCTACATTTATTTCTCTCGTGAGTTTGGGTGTAATTTGTGGTTGTCTATGTGTGTCCATAGCACCCGCGACACAGGGTTTCCCTAGTGCGGGGCTATGTTGAGTGTGTGCGTTATTATTATTATTATTATTATTATTGACTTGATTAATACTTGTCCTTGTGTTTCCAGAGTAGCGCAGGATGTGATATGCATGTGTGCGTGCGGCTTGGTAGTCGCCACTGCCTCGTTCTTGGTGCTGGCTATCGACTTCAAGGTATTAATTAAGTACTAAATAAATAAATAAATATATTTATTTGCTAATAGGTACACACGTATGACGTATTTGGCGTGTGCTTACCGATTTTGGTATTTGTACGGGTGAAACCGTAAATTTTTTGCGAGTTACATTTTGTGATTTTAACGATGTCATATATAATAGATTTACGCTTACTGCAGCACTACGCTGATCTATATATATTTTACATTCATTGAGTAAGTATCATTACTATCTCGCCCGGACTCGGTCGATTTATTCACATTATTTAGTTGTACTCCAATCATTTACGAGTAGCATCTGTTTATTGCAGATATTTTAATTGAAAAGTCCTGTTACAAAATTTTAGACTACATGTTAGATAAAGATGTATGGAAAGACGACATAAGTTTAGGTTCCACAAAAATATGATTATAAGTTTATTTGAAAAGAGCAATCCCTAAAGTTTGTTGCTTATTCTTCTCAGGGAAGTCAGCACAGTGAGCGAGCAGTAGCTTAAAAAATGACGTTTTCAAGTATGACGGTTTCAATTTTACTGGAATAAATTATTATTTCATCTTGACTTTGATCGTTATAATTTTGAATGCTAGTGAGCGTAGTGTCGCTAGTGTGAATTTATTGTGCGTCTATGTGACTAATCGGTTGCATGCCGCAGTGGGCGGGCAGGCGCACGCAACGGCTGGCGCAGCGGGTACACAATAACCGCACGCTGGCGCAGCTGCTGTCATTTGTGGTCGTCGCCACAGTCGCCGTCATGGTCCAGTTGCTATCGGTAAAGCATTCTAGAGCCTAAAGATGTAAGCACAGTGAGTTCTAGGCAGCGAACGGGTAACTGATGAAGTGTCGTGTGATGGGCAGGTGTGGCGTGTGTACGGAAGGACCACATCAGCGACGGCGGAACCGGCATATTGTCCGTACGACGTGAACGAACACTACCTCCAGCTGACACTGCTGGTGATGTTCATGTGCGCAGCGCAGCAGATCCTAATCACGATGTTAAAGACACTGGTGCTCGCTGTCACCTGCACCGCATATATACTCGTCATCATGCTGCAGCTCATGCGAGCACCCAGTTATCGCGATCCGATGTCGGTATTTCAGTCAAAATTTAAATTCATTCTTTTACTCATTGACCTACCAACAAATGGACGTCGGGTTCGCGCAAAAAAGTGTCCGCACCTATAGGGCGTTAAAATCACATACAGAGCGTCAATCGCGAACAGTCTCCATTTATTCGACTGACATCGCGGTTGTCCATCATGCAGTACTATATAATAATAACTTGTAAAAATTACTGCAGTAAAGAGTAAAAACAGGATTTTGTGTCATATTTTCACTAAACAAATATATTGTGTTATCACAGTTATCATTTAAAAGTGTTATTTTGTACAGTTGTATAGTATTTAATTTATCTACAAATGAATCGTACATATAAATTACAAAAGCAAACAAAATAATCAATACTCATTACTCAATACATGTCTTAAAGTTAAAATAATGCTAAACATATGAGCCCTTTATTAGGGATAACAATAAGAGCAGAGGTAGGCCGAGGTTTCAATTATTAATTAGAATTGTTATTTATCAAATAATAATAATAAATAAAAATACGTCATATAATAAGCAGAATTATGTCACTTGAAAGTTTGAATTTAATTAGATTACAATAGCATACTTATACTTACATACTTATAGTATATAATTTTGATTTATTTATTATTCAAATATTATTATTTTTAATAAAGTATTCATTTTTAATAATGAGCTGTAATTTTAATTTATATACAAACAGTGAATACTTTTCCTCGTTTTTAATAACGGGCGGGAGCTCCTTAAATATCCTCACCGACATCGAGTGGGAACTTGAGCTGTGTATGTGTAGCTGAGATTGTGGCAATCTATTGCGTAGTCTAAAAGGGTGTCGTTGGGGCATGTCGTTAATAGTGTGGTGTTGTTCAACACATTTACAAATTTCTAAAATATATATAGAAAACAAAGTCAAAATTTTCAATTGTTTAAAGTGCGGTGTGCAGCTATTAGTACTCCTCGAATTACCAAGAAAACGGATGCATCTTTTCTCGATTGTAAATTCTCTCGATGTATTTCTCGTGCGTGCACACTAATCCCCAAAGGATAATTCCGTAACCTAGGTGGGAATGAGTGTAAGCATAATAATAATAATCCTTACCCATCCATTCCCACCTAGCCTAGCCACAATCCTTTTTCTACAAATTGCATGCGCAAAATTACTTGATAGCATAACGGTTTTATTATAAATCAGTTTTCGGAATTACGGATATTTGAGTTTACGATTAGTTGGAATGTCGGTACATTTCTCATAGTACACGCTTATTTTTACATTTGTAATATTTTTATGTATATATCTGCCCAACTCTTTATTATTTCTTTAAGTGAAAGAATAGCACAAAATTTAGTAAAAAATTCTACATAATAATATAATATGTTATATAAAAATTAATTAATATTTACAATAAAGAGTGCTCCACTACTCAAGTGTTTAAGTAATTTTCAGTCGAAGCTAAATAAGGTGCATTTTGTTAAGTTTCCAGTAGAAGCTCAATTTGGTGTTTTTGGACCCTTAAATTGATGCAAGCAAAATTTCGTTACATGTCATTATGTTTGTATAGGTTACTTTGGAACATTTTTTCGTGGTTTTTGTATTAGACCCGACGTCCATTTGTTAGTAGGTCAATGCTTTTACCATTTATTTGTTTAAATGACTATGATTATTTATTTATTGATTACAGAAGTAGACTTTTTATTACCCGCTCTTTGCTTTTCTTTTGTACAGACACCCGTGCGACCTGGACTGGAACCAGCAATGGTCAAGTGTAGTGGTGGCGCTGGGCGCGGCGGTGGCGTTACTACTGCACGCACACCAAACCGAGAGCACCTACCGCCTCGACTTTATCTGGAAACTGCAGGCCAACGGTGAGACTCGCTTTGTGGATTGAGGCGACCAGTGTGACTAGGAGCTTCGCAGCACTTACTCGGTTTGTTTGTGTGCGTAGGAGAAAAGGAGGACATGGAGCACCTGGAGGCCTATAATCGTAAGCTTTTGGCCAACATCTTGCCCGAACACGTCGCACAACATTTCCTCAACAGCGACAAGAACATCGACGTGAGTTCTTAACCCTCCTGACCCCTTACCCTCTTGCAATTCTCCACTAAATCTGACTTTCTTATAGGAGTTATATCACGAGCAATGCGAGTCGGTGTGCGTCATGTTCGCCTCTATACCGAATTTCTCCGAGTTCTACGTAGAGTTAGAAGGCAACAACGAAGGTGTAGAGTGTCTGCGACTTCTGAACGAGATCATTGCCGACTTTGACGAGATCCTCGCTGAGGAGCCTTTCAAGTACATTGAAAAAATTAAGAGCACTGGCGCCACATATATGGCCGCCTCAGGTAATCTCGGCTCATGGTTTTTTGTTAAGATGAGCTAGCTATTGTTGTAGTAGTTACTTGGTTACAATCTGGGCCTCAGAGTATCTTTGAGAGATATGTTTAAGGAAATTAACATTCTTACACTAGCCTCACAGTACATTTATGAAAATGTAATTTATGTTAAGAGGAATAGTAATTTCTTTATGAAAAATAGTGACATACATAACATTAACACGAGGAATAAAAGTAAACTAGCTGTTCTTGATGGTCGTCTTCACAAAGTCACAAATTCATATAAGGGGCAATGTATACGCTTCTATAACAATATTCCGGTTGATATACAAAATTTGCCTTTCACGAGGTTTAAAATTATAGTGAAACAAAAACTATATACTAAAGGTTCGAATCCGGCCGGATCGAAGGAATTTTTTCTGAGTGTTCGATCTTTGTATCAATAAATATATACTAAAGGTTATTTATTATACAACTTCTGCGTACTTGGATGACAAAAATCCGTGGTAGTAACCCATTTAGCTCATGGAGGTAGTCTCGATCTCTGATGTTTGAAAGCATAAAAAATATATTGTAAATGTTGAATGCGTATAAATGTCATTTACAAAGAGCAACCCCTAGAGTTTCTTGCTCATTCTTCTCGTGGGAATCTTCCTTACGAATGTGCGGTAGAGTTTAACCAATGTGACGATTTCAAGTGTAATAATGCTTACCTATGAAATAAAGATTATTTTGAATTTGAATTTGCGTTGCACTCGCTTTAAAAAATCTAAATACTTACGAACTAATAGTATCTTTTGCTGTTGGAAATGGGCTAACGCGGTGTTATGGTGGCAGGGCTGACGGCGGCGACTCGTGATCTGCAGGGCTTTCGTCACGTGACGGCTATGGCCGACTACGCACTGCGCCTACGTGACCAGTTACAATACGTCAATGAACATTCTTTCAACAACTTCCGTATCCGGATAGGTAACACTCACGCAAACGCCCCTACTTACTTTAGTCCTTATTTTATACGTCATTTCTACGACTATGCGAACATACTAGAATTGCTAAGCGAAAGTTTGTGCTGCACAAGTGAGAGTCAGTCGTCGAGTATTTATTTGGCGTTCGCTAAGTGCTGAGGCAGTACGATGGTAACAGAGTAGTATGAGAATGTCGTGTTGGTCGCAGGCATCAACATAGGACCCGTGGTAGCGGGCGTGATCGGCGCGCGTAAGCCGCAGTATGACATCTGGGGCAACGCTGTCAACGTCGCCTCGCGGATGGACTCCACCGGTCTGGTCGACCACGTCCAGGTTCGCATGCGCACGCGAGATATTATTACTATTGGCGGTTTTATTGACTCTTGTCATTTGTTATTGCATGTCGTTTGTATCCAGGGCCGCCATTATGACGCTCACTTAAGGGTACATTGTAAGGTACAGCTTCCAAAGTATTGAATGTTTCAACCACAAAGTATTAAGTTCCTAATTAATAAATAAGTAAGTTAATATTAAGTATTTTGACGTTACTGAAAGTATATGCTGCCTTACTCGCTCTGTGATGACGTTTAATGACAGCCCCGATTTAAATGTTTGAGGCATCATATCCGCTGTGCGATTGTGGTACCACAATAATAACCGCATACACGAGATATATATGTATATGTTATTTAACAGTTTGAAATATGACATGACAGCAAGCGAATAGTTTATTATCGTCAGTAACTAGATAAATATTAAATTTCTAAATCAACAAAGCGAATACCTACTAGTCATTGTACCGCGTACTGACTGTTGTACTATCCACAAGTTGACTTGTTGATAGTACAACAGTTGACAAGTTGGCTTGACCCGTTTAGTTAATAAAAATGCCACAAGCGCACCTCGTATCCGCTACAAGGTGTATACGATAACCACGAAATGCTGCTAATACAAAGGAAATTAAAATGGTGTCATATCGATGAGGAGGTTGAGCGAAGGAGCTGTAGCGTAGTTTGTTGTGTGTGTAAAAGGTGACGCAAGAGGTGTACGAAATACTGCGCGCGCGCGGCTACCGGCTGCGCTGTCGCGGCACCGTCGACGTAAAAGGCAAAGGCAACATGGTCACTTACTTTTTGGATGGTGTGGGCGACGCGATCGTCGATCACCCCGCTGACGTCTACACCGTGAGTACCATCGATCGACATGATCACCTATAGCGAGTTCCAAATATAAAATGGCTTGTTTTATTAGAACCCGACGCCATCGACGTCAGCCAATGGTAATGAATACTGTACGACGGTGACGGTGCAAGGCGACCTGACTGACTACCATGCGCCGTCTTCCTCCTCCCACCGCTCCATGCAGAACTCGCGCCAGCTCGACACACTCTCCGAAGGGCATACAGACGAAGACGCCGGCACCTCTCCCCGGCGTTCGATTCCCACTGGTACGTATAGAGTTACACGCGATTTTGATGTCTTACCAATAATTCAAAAATCTCTTTGAAACAAGTTAACAGCAAAGGTAAAAAAAATAAAGAAACTACTTTTTGCAGAAAACCAGAATGGATCAACAAGTCCGAAATTGAATCAGTCTCGCGAGAGCGTCGCGAGCGCAGTACGCCTGCGCCGCTTGCGTCGGCTTGAGCGGCCACTGTCTCTGGCAGAGACACCGCCACCCAACATACTGCTCTCACTGCTGCAGAACAGATCGTACTCCATTAACTTTGATAAGTCCACTTTTCATGAGTACCTTGAGGTTAAAGATAGGACAACCAGCACTACGAGGCAGCGCAGCGTTGCGACGTCACACAGCAGCGACGAGCTGGGCGCTCACACCGCGACTGACGAGCCGCGACGCGCCGTTAGCTTGATCGACGTGCTGTTTAGGCGCAAGCACGCGCTGCGGATCGCTTGCCATGTTATCGAGAACCCCATGCATGCCGCGCTCGACAATGACGACGCCAACACCGGCTAAGCGCCCAGCGCTTTAACGATTTAGGCATCGCGTCTTTATACGAAATGTTTCAAAAACACATTTTTCTTACGTTTTGCGCATTATATAAGGACACAATGCTCGTATCACTATTTATCTTATCGCGGACATCTCTCGATTACTCATTGATATTAACAATAAAAATTATGTGTAAAAATTATATTGTGACACGCGTAACAGTAGCTCCGATGAGCTGTAGAGTGAAAGGTTGTGAATTGCAAAAAAATCCGTTGTTGCGGCTGAACGATTGTGTCCTAGGATTGTGTCAATTGATCCGCTTACTTGCGAATCGGTTTGTATTAAACGTGTACCTAATATTATCTGTAGTTACAATAAGTACCTACATGTATATATTATTTATTAAATCTATGCAGCAAATATCAGTAGTTAGTAGTAGTGTATATATAATTCGTAAATACAAATAGTTGTTAATCTCAAAGTGAAGCACATTACCAAACCTGAGCTCGAGTAAAGGGGCGCGGGTGCTGCCGCCGTCGGCCGGCGACATCCCGCCTGCGCTTCTCATTCTCTCCTCATAAATCTACTATTTATTATTATAATTACTATTATTCTACTTATAATATAATTATTGTACTTACGCTAAGAGCAGCGATTAACATTTTTTTTATTAATGATTAAGGTTCTTGGAAGCGATTATAACTAGCTACAAAATGTTGAAAACAAAAAATCACTTATTTCATGATATTTTGTAAGTTTGTGGAAGAAAATTGTGACTTCATTAGCACAAATACACGTAACTACCTTAACGGATGCTACATACTGCGAGTTGGCATAGTGATTGTAAAGGAACGAGCTTATAAAAGAATGGTTGAGTCTAGTCTTAAGGTGTTTATCGAATAAACGGGAGCCAGTGCACCCTACACTTACGGCAGTTAAGTAGTTCTTTAGCTAATGTACCTTATGACCATAATATTTACGTTAAATACTTGGTATAGGTCCACCAGAACCTCACGACAAATGGGGAAATTGAAAATTATTTTAGTTAAAATTCAGTCAGTGGAAGACAGAGAAATCTATATTCTACCAGTAGAATATTGAGTATAGCGTCGTCAGTGACGCTGAAGAGGTTCAATGTGTATACGTTCTGGGCACGAAATTACATTACAGGGCGTGAAAAAGCAGGAACTCATATGCTGCATTGGTTGGGGAAAGGTTCTAATTTTGAATAGCTGGTGTGCGATCCAAAATCATTTATCACACTTTCCTCCAACGATCGCATCAAGCTTATAACGCCTCGCCAGACATTGCTATGTCTGGCGAGGCTACAGTGACTGTTGCTACACTGTCTTTTTTACGAAGCCGTCCTGTTGATGAGCAATTGATACTATCGATGTTCTTAGCAAGTAATTGGCAAGTAATCAGGAAAATATTTTTTACGCCCTCCAAATACATACCCTATAACATAGTACAAATATAAATAATGTAAAATTGTATTTATTGTGTACTCTCCGCGAATTATTAATTTATTAAAATAAGTTTCTTTTTTGAAAATAAAAAAAATTGCTTACTAGTTTACATTAAAATTTGCAGTACTTATACAAAGTGACATATTGATTGATTAAGATTGCCATAAGAAATTTGTATATTTTTATTTGAGTTTCATATCGTGAGAAGCTGGTAGACCTATTCAATATTGTAAAGACTTACAAAAACTGTATTAGTACTTTATAACTATTTACCTATTTTATACACGACTTTCAGTCTTGGATGTAGGTACATAAACAAAAATATTGCAATTAATCTTAATCAAATAAGAAAAATATTGATACCGGTCTTTAATTGTCAGAAATCTGATTTTCTGATAACTAATAATTATTCATATAAGAAAAAAATATTATTGCTTTGCTTTAAACCAAAAGTGACATATTGCACATTTAAAGTATATCGCACCAGTCTATTAGTATCTATACTTTACTGCCATTAATCAATATTTGACAGGTTTCCTGTATGCATAATACAAGTCACGTATCGCACCCTTAGTAATATAAGGGCACAATCCAAAAAAAGTAGATTTTTGGGAAATTTGGGAATTGATAGGGACTTAAATAATAAATGGGATCAAACTTATATAGCTCCATATTTCTGTTATATTTTTTGTACTATATGGGTCTAACTTGAAAGTGTTTTTTTAACTTGCTTGAAACTTATGGAATTTATTTATATTATTTTTTTTTATTGCTATTTATAATACATTTATCAAAGAACAAATCTGCCAAATTTCATATTTATAACTTAAATAATAAGCATGTTATTTGAAAAAATAGGTGTAATGTAGGAATCTAGAATCTACTCGTATACGCGATTTCCCAAAAATCTACTTTTTTTGGATTGTGCCCTTATATTACTAAGGGTGCGGTATACTATACATACAAGTAATATGTAGAGATGTACATTATTTAAAGTACTTATCGTTTTTATTAGTTCGAATCTTTGTAGGTTGTAAGTCACATACCGCGAATATACAAAATATTGTATAAACAATTAGTATTTGATATTATAAAGTACAGGTACTATATACATGCAGTATACAATACAATTCAGACCATTGTTAACGTGAATGAACTCCCCAACATTATGTGAAATGTGAGGTCCCATGGCCCTGCTGGCGCCCGCCGCTAGGCGGTTTGGCGAATCGGAACCTTGTTCTATTTCTTGAATGTCTGACATGGGTACCAGAAATCAGGGTTCAAAGTTATTAAGATATTTATTTCCTTTGATAATTATCATGATAATTATCCGACAATTATCGTCTTTCTCTTTAATATTTGACTAAAAATTACAGTCACTGAGAAAACTAAACAAACACGAAAAAAACTTTTTCAGATTGGCATTTGACACATTTGGATACGTCTCTGATACAAACTACAAACATAGGGCAAGACATTGCTAGCAGTAGTATTTTATAACTCAAACAAATTTGATTAATATGAAGATTATTATTATTATCTTAATAAATTCAAGATAATTATTATGGTAATTATCACGTCGAACCCTGCAAGAAATACGATGAGGTGTCATTGAATGTACCTACAAACTTGTAATATGATGTATAGAATCGAACCTCGACGAGACGTTGCGAACGTCTGCAGCGCTGTCTACGCTGCCGCTGCCCTCAACGCCGCGGAACTGGCATAGCTTTACTCGTCAACTCCCCTTTTTCAACGTCACCGTAAATTTTTATTTCTGCTTTAGTTTATTTAATAATACCTTAGTTGGAATTAACTGAATTTCGACCAAACTTTCCGGGTCCAAGCTTTGTATGTACTATGTACAAGTTTAATTTTGTTATATTTTTAGTAGCATATTTCCTTTGCCACGTACGAATGTCTGTGATTACAGAGTATACGTACCGAGTTAAAAAACGGTTGCTGGCCAAAGAAAACACGGCGATCAACATCGTCGTGCACGGGCGGGCGCGTCGCTGCGCTCCGCCACATGTGACCCAGTGCACGTTATTTATTTATGCACATTTCAATTACAATATAATACAATTACGTAATTAATAGGTAGGTTATTAGATTTTGCTGAAACGCTTGATATTTATATTATTATTGGTGTCCTAACTGTGATGTATTTAAACGAATTGTATCAATTTTAGCGTAAGCTCTTTACACCTATTATGCATGTTTTTATATATAAGTAAAGTTAGATCGTGTTTAAATGTTTTCAAGATCGGTTATTTCATGTGGAATTAGGCTGAGTACACGGGGTCATTATTTTTTATTTTCCATATAATATTTTTTTGTATAAAAAAATTAAATATTGCAACCCTACTACTCCATTCGAAGCATTCGTTCAACTCTTATTCATTTTCACATTGAAATAACCGATGCCAAATAATAAATAGAACATTGAGAAAGTTTTGCGATGGTAAAAAATTGTTTCATTGGTATAATTTGTTTATTAAAATCAATAGATATGATATCTTTTCAAAAAACTTTCCACCACTGTCTTCGCAAAGTTTCATGCGTCTGAACCAATTTTCAAAACACTTTTCCAGTCCGTCTCAGACACCTCTTTCACGGCCGGCCTCTTCGAAGGCTGCTAGTGCATCTTGAATGAAAACTATCCCTTTGAGTTGATTTTTTATTTAAGTAAATAGGAAGAACTCACACGGTATCAAATCAGGGCTGTAAGGAGGGTTAGAAAAAAATTTACCGGTGTTATGTAAAGCAGTAGCCCGCGGAACCCAGTGTTCGGTCGCTTGTTACTCACAGTAGTGAACATGTCTGGCAAACAATTTTAATATACCATTCGGCGTTAATGTTACTAATCTCGTAAAGGAACTGATACCAGATACCTCGTCAAAGTGAAAAAACTAGCGATCAAAATCTTCCCTGCGATTCTCGAACGCTTAATTTTGGTAGACATTGGTTCGTTTTAAAACAGCCAACAACCGTCGACTGGCGCTTCGCATCGTATCATATCGATAAATCAAAGATTCATCACCTGTAACGATATCATAAATGCGACGAGACGAGCCTGCTTCAAACTTAACAGTCATGTCACGGCACCATTCCACGCGGGCGGATTTCTGAGCATCTGTGATGTTGTGTGACACCCAGCGTGAAACTATCCTCCTCGCGCGAAGATGCTCTTGTAGAATATAGTGAACACTTCCCGTTTCGACCTGCAATATCTACTGAATCTCTTCATATATGATCCGCCTATACACCTCAATTAAATTTTCACTAAATTTTCCCTTGTTACGGAAAGAAACGTGCTAGTAGTGCTTGTCCTTTGACGGCTGTTGCCGTCAAGGGCGACCACTTCTTTCTTCATACCTCAAGGTTAATCGATCGTGCTTAAATTCGTTATTCCAACGTTACACGGTTGTCTTAGAAGGGCCTTTATTCATAAATTTTGCCGATTTGTGTCCATTAAAAGATAAGTCCCGTTTTAGGCGAAATTTAAAATCATATAGAAAATCATCACGCGAAAACGTTCACGATGCAGATCCATTTTTCAATGAGACACTATGTTTCAAATTAACTCGTAAGAAATTTGGAGAATTTTGTAATTGGAATATTAGAATTTTTACTTGTAAATAAACGTACTTTCGCAATACATAATTTTTTTTTGCAAAACTTTCTGAGTGCTTGAATAATTGAATAAAAACACTTATTTGTAATATGTTCTAATTTAATACACTATATACAAGTAGTACTTGCATACATAAATTTTAATATGTAAGAAGGTATACCTACTCACTGTGCAATAAACATTAACTCTATTTTAGAAGTGGGGATTGCAAAGGGCGTTTAGTTATTAATTTAGTTATTACAACAAAACAAAAAGCAATTTTAAAAAATATTTCAAATATCTAATTAGATATGCTTCGTAAAAAGATTTATTACGTTCATCGAAGCGCAGCGAGAGACGCTTGCGTGGCAACCACTCAAAT